ACCCACCACAGAGGATTCGAATGCAGAACCTTCCGGTTATAAGGCTAGCTCCTATACCATTCAGCTACCAAGGCCCGACCTGATTCAGTGGCCAGCCAGTGCACGAATTCTAACTTCTATCAATTCGTGATTAAGCGCGACTGGCATCAACCAATGTCGTCGGTGGGACATCCATCCTCACACGTGATATCATCTGAATGAACCTCACTGGTCACACGACTTCTCACTAGAACTGATTCCAGGAAACTCCATCCTGTAGCTAGTGGTCACTGGCTAGCATCAGATTAATTTTTCTATAGTTTGGTTTGCAAGGATTAGTTATGCTTTCACGAGTTTGACCACGCACGGGTTGATATCAGTGAGTTAGAGAACCACTGAAGCATTGATCAACTCGCAAAAGCGCAAAAGTAACCCTGCCAAAACACCAAAATATAGAAAATGTGTATGTTTAGCATGGTTTAGCATGAACACGTGACAACAACTGCAGTACGCCTTACACTTTCAACATCACATAGGAGTAGTGACATACATAGCTCTCGTCAGCATCTTTTAAAACGGTAAACACACAGATTGCCACTTTAACAGTGAACAGTTTTAATCATAGTTTATTATTATTGATTCATTTTATATCTTTGAAAGTTTTAGCTTTAATCGCTTTTGAATGCAGAGGTTCACTTTCACATCTCGAATAGATAATGCTTCACCTATGCACAGATGGTGTAGCCAAAGTCCCTTTGTACGATATTGAGGGACTCTGTGTGTAACAATGTGAAGCATTCATGCGAGTGTGGGTGCTCGATGGTGTCCGAAGATGACAAGGTGTTCGAGAATAGAGCTATTGCTATTCTACTTTTCTCCTCTGGCTGGCTAATCCAGCTGGCCAGCGAGTGTTCCAGACTACATTTGTGGACTTGACGTTGCGTTCGGCCGATGTACTTTGCTCCACACTAGCAAGTGAATCAATATGAATACACATTGAAGTGGCCAACAGCGACGGTATCTTGTCCTTCACGTTGTTAGACTGTCTGGACTAACTGTCGTCTGCTGGAGAATGTGATACGTAGAGTGGCTGTTGGAAATGTCTTCTTCAGACATTTAGAAAGGCGGTTTCTGAGAATTTCTTCTGCGGCTGAGATGTTACTCTTGAATTGTAGGTTCATGAAGAGAGAATCTTCTTAGGAACCGTTGCAATGTTTGACACCGGAGGCTTCTCCTTCATGTTTTCGTGTCGATAAATCTTCGTGGATATCCATTCTCTAGTAGGGTTTCACGAAGAAAAATTTAATTCTTTCTCCACCATGTCTTCCGAGTAGAGTTTTCTAATCCTTAAACACAATGTACGTATCAGGTTTCACATTTGGATCAGTGGGACAAAGCTCTGGAAGTTGATAAACTCTCCAGTCCATGTTGACTTGTGATAGATATATCGATCGATCTTTGGATCGTAGAGTCGTGTCTTCTGGTGAGTAGTAAGTACATCAAGGAAGGGAAATGCGTTGCTGGATTCGCGTTCAGTTGTAGTTTTTAGTTTACATAGTTATTTTTATCATTTTTAATAACCTAATATCCATCTACTAATTGATGAACTAATGTGTTTTAAAAGTTGGTTTATTTATTGATTTCACTTGGATAGCTGTTCTTTCTTTCCTTCTTTCTCATGATATATAAAGCAATTGCTTCTATTTTTCTCACCTACTTCTGATTCTGTCTATCTCGCACAAATTTCATCTATAGCACACTTTAGAACAACAATGCTAATAATAATACTTAATCCTTGACTTAAATCCCCTTCATTTTTCAGCTTGCATAATCTGTACACCCTTCATTCTCCTCATTATGTTCATTTTTACAAAATAAAGTAGACTGTTTAATTGAATTTTAGATTTTCCCGTCCGTCCATCGATTGATTCACTGATTGATTGATTGGACCGAAGTGCTAGTCGGTCTCTTAGGTTGACATGGCTGTTGACTTCTTGTTGTGCAGATGCTTCGACGACGATGTCTGGGCATTTAATTCGAATTTAATTGGTGGATAGTGGTGACTGGCAGTGGAATCCAGGCAGGATAATGTGCATTTTGTCCGTCCTATTTGAGACTCGTCAGTTGGCTGAATGTACCTGCATTCGACAGTGAGTCAGCGACGATGTTCACACTATGAAGGGTCGAATTCAGTGGCCATAATTTCAAACACCGTTAAAATCGTTATCCACTAGACCACTTGGGTACAAGAAGACGATATGTCAACCTAACATCAAACACTTCGGTTCATTCAATCGACGGGAAAATCTAAAAAACGATTGAATTAAAGTAGACTACGTCTGAGATAAAATTCGGATCACAGTTCTCGTAATTCTATGTATTATATTTTGGTGCCTGATTTATTACTCACATGAATAGACGAAATCTTTAAAAAAACAGCGATGACATTTTTATATATAAACCTGTGTTATGTTAATTTTGATTAATTCCCCTGAAGAAGTTTGAACCAGTTTGATGAGCACAGGAAACGTTGGAATGACTTATTTCACTTTCACTGAGATTTTCACAAATACAATTTTTACATATATATATACTACTTCTACTTCTCAATCGGCACCCAGTTATTTTGGAATTATTCGATCAAATCATGATCACACTTCTCATATGAGATTAATAATCACCTTTACCAGTGAACTTTAAAAAAAAACGTTAACACTGTATTCATCAGTCTGAGGAGTTAATAAACCGGGAGGAAAAACTTAATGACTGATCGATTTTTTAATGACGGATTTTCTCATATTGTGGTGAGAGCTGTCCGCTATCCAAATTGGTAGACTGTAATTTACGTCAATGTTTATGTCCCACATATTGGTCATGGAAAAGAAGAACAAGAACAAAGACTGACTGACTCAACAACCAATCACAGCACACTTTCTTTACGTAGGCGGACACAATTAGCAGATAGCAGATAGATGATCTGACCTTCAAGAAACAGCCACAAAGAGAAACAGCCACTAATCAGAGGACTGTGTTTGTCTGCTAACAACAATCAATAATAATAATGTCCATGAAAATCGATATATATATGTATGTCGATTTCCTTAACAAACGATTTGTTGACTGACCCTTGTCTTCTTTTGTTACAATTACAAATTTTCAAGTATTGGTTTTTGTAGGGATTTTGTTTGATTGCATGGAGGATTTAATCATGAGCTGACATTAGTTAGAGAACCATTGGAAAACCTGGGAGTACTGGACAGCTGTTTCGTCAGCCTAGTTTGGGACTCCTCAGCAGTACGCACCCACCGGGATTCGAACCCAGGACCTTGTGGTTACAAGGCGAGCAAGCTCGTAGACCATTGAGCCACTGGGACCCGATCCAATGGTCCGTGAATTCTAACTTCTGCCAGTTCACGACATAGCGCGACCACTTCGCAATGTCTTCTTCGATGAGTTACTGCCTCATCTTCGACCTGCTGTACCCTACTGGTCACGGCTTCCCACTAGAACCCCAGGTTAACTGCCTGAATAGGGCCAGTCACTAGTGAGCATCAGATGAATTTTCAAGTATTGGTTTTTGTAGGGATTTTGTTTGATTGCATGGAGGATTTAATCAGTCCAGTACTCCCAGGTTTTCCAGTGGTTCTCTAACTGATGTCAGCTCATGATTAAATCCTCCATGCAATTACAAATTTATTGTGTTTTCTATATTATCAAGTAACGCACTGATCATCATAGTCGTAACTTATTCATAAATAATAGCACTGAAGCCACTGATGGATGTTCTGCAAATTTTAAGTTGACTCCTGTGTCTTGATAATTAATCACTGGAGAAGGCACACTATGACATTGAGAGTGGATATTCAACTAGAAGACGCTGAAGCATATACCACTTCAGAGTGAAGTGGTGATAACAACCTACTCCTGAATTGACAAGTTTTCTTTTGACAGCTTATTAGCACTGCCCTTAGATAAAGGTTTGCTTAGAATATATCCATCTCTAGACAAATGTCAAGTAACTTTAATTTTATTTTAATCTATGTAATATAAATGAACTCAAATAAAAATCATGGAGGATCTGGACTTCGCCAATGATATAAGTCTGATTTCTCACAAGTTGGAAGATATGCAAGTTAAAAGGAACAAGTTGGCGATACGGGAAGCATCCAGACAAGATAGGACTTCCTTCAGGTGAACATAGAGAAAATAGAGGTGATGAGTATTCCTGGCCAACACCAACAGCTACAACAACAACAGACAACAATCAGCCAGCATAAATGGGAGGAACCTGAAAGAAACAACCTCCTTCACCTACCTACCCGCCTACCTGGGAAGCATCGTTTCAACTTCATGTGGACGGAACTGATGAGGATATCGAAGAAGCGAGGATCATCAGGGAAGCAAGACAAGCTTCCATTACCCTCAAGTCTGTGTGGAGGTCAACAGCACTTCTCAGTATGAAAATGCAAATCAGATCCGGATTTTCAACTCCAATGTGAAATCAGTCAGTGCTACTCACTATACGGATCAGAGACTTGGCCAGCGCGTCATGAAGAGCACTTCAAACAAACTACACACCTTCATCAATAGCTAGTTTTCCTCGCTCAATACCACTCAAGATCAGATGGCCTGCCGACCAGAGAAGATCAGCAACAGCGATCTCTGGGAGCGAACCAACCAGGAACCGATTGTGCAACAAATATCTTCAGGAAGAAATGGAGATGGATTGGATTGTGGCCATACCCTGAGAAAGCAAACCATCAAGTGAGTGACATCACTAGACAAGTCATTGCTCGAGAGTAACCCGAAATGGAAGCGGCGAGTTGGTTGTCAGTGTTAGGGTGACTTGGAGGAGGTCATGTGAAGAGGAGATGAAAGTGCGTGAGCAGAAGCGCGGAGCCAGGTGAAAAATTTAGCAGAGAACCAAATGCAATGGAGACGTTGGGGTTGAAGCCCTGTTTTCCTCTAGGAATTAAAAGAAATAATAATAATAGTAATAATAATAATATGATATATATTACCTTCAAAATATCTTTGATCCTTTCCGTAGCCACCACACTTATCTTGACTAGGTAAACAACGCTTAATTCGCATACAGTGTTTCCAACGTTGCTCTTCATTCGATACATACTTTCCAAGATGTTCAAATAATTCTTTAAAAGGTAAATATTCAGCCATACAAGAACCATCTATGGAAAAGAACAAAAAACAGTGAAATATTTACACTACTGAAATGTAAAAAAGTAGTTCAACTAAAATAAAATCAATTCTTCTTTCCCATCTTGGTGGTAAGATGTTTTTGTTTTTGGGATAGACGGTTGGTCAAATGGAAATGTTGAAATTTTCCTTTTTACCTTTCAGATACTTTATGAAGAAATCAGCCTGGAAAGAAACTTGGAGTTGTTAACCGTCTACATGGCAGTCGTCATCAAACAAAATAAATTTTCAAAAGAATAGATATACATTTTCACAGCTTCGTTCGTCTCAAGTACTAGAGAAATTTAGTAAACGCCCTAACTTAGCCACAGGGTTAGTTAGAGTTATATGCTCAGAAGAAATAATTGAAGATGAATTAAGCATTCTATATGATACTTTGATCGATCGAAAATAGCTATTCCGACAAATTTATGAAGAAACACATGACAAAGAAAGCAGCGGAAAAGAACTACTCACTATCCATCCGTAAACAAGAAGCCTCTTTATATACGACTAAACTTCAAGGGCGATCAATATACCAAGTCAGGTAATTACGAAGAAATTAAGAAAATCAGTTCAAAGAACTTTTAATACTGGCGAACTACACATCTTATTCTCTACACGACCGATAGTTCTACCTCGACTGAAAGATGAAGTACCTAGACCAGACTAGCTGGCCACTTCAAATTGTGTCTACCAATTCAGCTGCAACTGTGCTTGTAGTGGAGTGAGTTATATGAGCCTTTGATGCTCTAGGAACTTGATTTTTCGTGATCGCTAGCTCGAGAACATCTCCCAGTATGGCTAAGTAAAGGTGTAATGAAAACCATTAACAAACAGTTCGATATTGGAACATCTGCTGCAAACCGGGCACAAAGCCAATATTGAAGAGTCCATCTCTATCATCATCTACCGGGTGTCTAATAAATTGACAAAATCATCATCGAATCATCGCATACTCCAAATAGCAGAGGCTATCGCAATTCACCTCAAACAACCAGTGCTCTGTGTGTGGAGAAGAAGCAAGTCCAGCTAGCTAGCCACTACTACTGCCCTGGCTGACCAGCCTTCAGTAGAGACTATAAATTCAAGAATTTGTAATATTATCTTTCCTAATTCAACTGACATTCAGTTTATTGTTATGTTGATGCTATTGAACTGTAATCCACTGGTATTATTATTATTACTGAATCGATGTTATTTAAACAGCAACATGAATGTTGTTGTTCATAACACTAATTCATTCATTCATTCATTCGCTATAATGGATGGATATATATCTCTAGAGCCTGATGATGATGAAGAAGAGGTTATCGAAAGGAGTATTCTTTGTTCAGTATCCATTCTTATGAAAATAATTTTAATGAGCATTTTTAATCATTCAAAATAAATCTGTTGAACACCGTTCCTCTTTATCATTTCCCTTCTTTAAACCTCAATGCTTCTTTCCAATTACAGGAGTAGTGGTAATTCCATACAAAGAAGGGACCGCAGAAACCACCTTACAGCGGAGAATTCTTAACAAGCCGGGCAGGAAGCAATAAAAGTGGCTGGAATTCAACCTCTCCCCACAAAAGCTCAATAAGAAACAAGCTTTGTCGGTTAAAGCATAAATCAGTCCTGTGGAGCCTTTAAAACAAAAAACAATTTAGTTTATCTAATACCCTACCAGCTGAAATGACTGTCATGTCAAATACACAGGTAAAAGTAGTAGAAAACAGGGTCAGTCAGTCAGACTAACCGAGCATAAAAATCTAACAGCAAAATCTAGATTGGTTGACCGAAATAGTATAAGAAATCTAGAGAATAGTTCAGTCGTAGATAGCACTCACTACATGCAATTACAATCTAATGTCACAACTGGGTGTAGGGAGGGAAAGATGGATAATAGAAGCTTTGTTTATCGAATCAACTGTAACGGGGGAATGTCTGTCTGTCTGTTTTCGACATAGAACTTTGCACAAATGTGCGGCAGTTCAAGTCGCCACACTCCCTCCATGTAGCACACAAAGCAAGAGAAGAAAGTACAAGAAAAGCATAAAAGAGACAGTAAGCAGGGGTGTGAGACAAAGGAGGAGCAATAACGAAGAACAAAACAGTTTCATTGGAGATCATAAGTCACAAGGAGTGGATGCATCTGCGCTAGCCACTGAGAACGATTTTGAGCCATATCACCAATTGTTTCCAACCATTGATTTTCACCATCCCGAGGACCCCAACCGGTCTGGAAGTCTACACCTTCCTACGTGGCTTAGACCAACTGTTGTGGATTTCATTGACTGGTGACATGTTTTGGTTTGACCGCCGCTAGCTTTTTTCCAGCCTGACCCTATATCAGCTAACATTGCCCATTAGTCGAGGAAGGCGATGACTAGGCATACGTAACACATGTGCTAACCACCTCAGTCTTTGTAACTTCACAACTTCGTCGATTGATTTCCCCTCTTTACCTAGAGCTCGACGCCTAACCTCAATATTGCTCACCCTATTATACCACCAACTAACATGGGGGATAGAACGCAGGCACCTATCATCAAAGACAGCTAATCTTTTCATGTCTTCCACTCTCAGTGGCCAGGTCTCACAGCTGGCCATAAAGGAGGACGGAGCGGACTGATGAGCAGTACACCCGCCATTTGGTCGATAGTCGAACATCTCGTCTACGACAGAGTCGGCGTAAACTGGCAAATGCGAAACGAGCCCCTTGTATTCGTGCTGAGATTTCATCAGAGATCAACCCGTTGGCGTTGGCTGATGGTACTTCCCAAATAAGTGAAGCGGTCAACGTGCTCTACCACTTCACTTCCTATTTTTAAACTAGGCGTCGATGAAATACGTGTAATAGGAATGACTCAACTAACACCTGTCCACCCAGATATCTGGAAAATTCTACTACCACTCCAATGATGACGACAAATAGGTGAGAACAAAGAAAACTATAAACCTCAAGTTTCGAAGTCGTGTGATTATGATTGGTGATGTGTATGATTATGAACAGCAATAATAAATTTTCTTCGAAACGTTATCCATTATGCAATTATACTGTTTCACTGTGTGATACATCTGATAAACAAATTAATATGGTAAAATGTTTGTAGTAGATCAAACATACACCTTACTGATTAATATTATAATTATTTTTATTATAGGAAATCTAAAATCTATCTTGGCAACTCAAACTCTATTGGAAAAAAAATAGGAGAACTCACAATACAGAAGTGCTGGTACACCCAAATAACGATATTGTGCACGAAATACTGTATGCAAGCAGGCAAGACCTTCTTCAATTTTAACTGCTTCACAAGTATTTGTTGGCCCAAGACCGTATATATCTCTTTTACCATACCATGGCTGAAGACCTTCATTAAATGACCTATGCTAATTGATTTTGTTTTTAGTCAAAAGTCAAAGCTGATATCAATGTGGAATTCAAATAAATAAATAAACAAATATTCCCATTAATTGGGTCATAAGAAAAAACAGGGTACAAACAGCGAAGAAGAAAATTTTCCCTTTTCGACGATTCATTTTCATGAGCTGCTGTCAAACATCGTAATAATATTGAACAAAAAAATTTTAGATCAATCAGATACTGGTAAACTTTGCCCTCGACAAATAAATGTATTACATAATGTAAGGTGTGACCTAGAAAGGATAACTAATTGTATGTAAGCTACAAAAGAGACGGAAGTTGGCATGACCTAATAAGTGTGAAATAATGACCAACAAATAGATAAGCTTGTGTAGAATGGACAAGAACTAGTGAAAAGGCAATGGAGTGTTTTTAAAATAAAATCTGTATGAAGAAGCAGTGTTATTAATGAACGCAAATAGAGTGGTAATAAAATATGGATGATGGGAATAAGAATGATAATAAAATTATACTAGTAATAATAATAATAATAATAGTGGACTTATTTTGATTTGACACTAGTAACTAGTGTGGTGTGTCTAGTCCTCTCATTGGTGCAGACTGAATTCTATCAGTCAGACTGTAAAGGTTGTGAAGTTACATAATAAAAAGGAAAGCAGCGAAATTGTAGTAAGAACTTTACTCTGGCCATGGTAGGCAGAGAGAATGTAGGTATTGCTTTCGAATGCAGAGGTACGCTTTCACATCTCAAATAGCTAATGCTTCACCTATGTACAGATGGAGTATCCGAAGTCCCTTTGTACGATATTGAGGGACTCTGTGTGTAACAATGTGAAGCATTCATGCGAGTGTGGGTGCTCGATGGTGTCCGGAGATGACAAGGTGTGTCTTCTGGTGAGTAGTACATCAAGTTTAGGTTATTAAAAATGATAAAAATAACTATGTAAACTAAAAACTACAACTGAACGCGAATCCAGCAACGCATTTCCCTTCCTTGATGTACTTACTACTCACCAGAAGACACGACTGTACGATCCAAATATCGATATATCTATCACAAGTCAACATGGACTGGAGAGTTTATCAACTTCCAGAGCTTTGTCCCACTGATCCAAATGCGAAACCTGATACGTACATTGTGTTCAAGGATTAGAAAACTCTACTCGGAAGACATGGTAGAGAAAGAATTAAATTTTTCTTCGTGAAACCCTACTAGAGAATGGATATCCACGAAGATTTATCGACACGAAAACATGAAGGAGAAGCCTCCGGTGTCAAACATTGCAACGGTTCCTAAGAAGATTCTCTCTTCATGAACCTACAATTCAAAGGTAACATCTCAGCCGCAGAAGAAATTCTCAGAAACCGCCTTTCTAAATGTCTGAAGAAGACATTTCCAACAGCCACTCTACGCATCACATTCTCCAGCAGACGACAGTTAGTCCAGACAGTCTAACAACGTTAAGGACAAGATACCGTCGCTGTTGGCCACTTCAGTGTGTATTCATATTGATTCACTTGCTAGTGTGGAGCAAAGTACATCGGCCGAACGCAACGTCAAGTCCACAAATGTAGTCTGGAACACTCGCTGTCCAGCTGGATTAGCCAGCCAGAGGAGAAAAGTAGAACAGCAATAGCTTTATTCTCGAACACCTTGTCATCTCCGGCCACCATCGAGCACCACACTCGCATGAATGCTTCACATTGATACACACAGAGTCCCTCAATATCGTACAAAGGGACTTCGGATACTCCATCTGTACATAGGTGAAGCATTAGCTATTTGAGATGTGAAAGCGTACCTCTGCATTCGAAAGCAATACCTACATTCTCTCTGCCTACCATGGCCAGAGTAAAGTTCTTACTACAATTTCGCTGCTTTCCTTTTTATTATGTAACTTCACAACCTTTACAGTCTGACTGATAGAATTCAGTCTGCACCAATGAGAGGACTAGACACACCACACTAGTTACTAGTGTCAAATCAAAATAAGTCCACTATTATTATTATTATTATTATTACTAGTATAATTTTATTATCATTCTTATTCCCATCATCCATATTTTATTACCACTCTATTTGCGTTCATTAATAACACTGCTTCTTCATACAGATTTTATTTTAAAAACACTCCATTGCCTTTTCACTAGTTCTTGTCCATTCTACACAAGCTTATCTATTTGTTGGTCATTATTTCACACTTATTAGGTCATGCCAACTTCCGTCTCTTTTGTAGCTTACATACAATTAGTTATCCCTTCTAGGTTACACCTTACATTATGTAATACATTTATTTGTCGAGGGCAAAGTTTACCAGTATCTGATTGGTCTAAAGATTTCTTTGCTAATTATATAATTACGATGTTTGACAGCAGCTCATGAAAATTAATCGTCGAAAAGGGAACGTTTTGTTCTTCATTGTTTGTGCGTTTTTCTTATGAAATAATCAAATAATATTTGTATCAGTAAGGCATTTAGAAGACAAATTTCACCGCGAGATGATATCGTCATTTCGTAGTTTTCGCTTTACAACCGTTTTACACAACTAACATTGTTAACAATAACACTAAAATAAAATAAAGTTCACATGACAATTACTCAGTTATATAAAAACCAAAAGTACATTCTATGCTAATGACCAATCATCATATTTAATTAAATAGGTCAAGTAGTCAGTCCATGATAGGCAATGGAAGATTGAAGTCTATTGTGTTTTGACTGTACACACAGTTAGTTTAGGCTGTATGTGATTAATCCCCGAAAGGTGTGCTTCCATCACCTCCAATAATCAACCAACCTTGAATTAGAGTTATGTGATGAAATAATTGTGAACCAGTCGTTAATTAATATGGATCGATTTTGTGACCTGACATTCATTAATAAGTGTTTAGCAATGGATGACGATGATTCTGGATTTCTATTTAGATTAATGAATGCATTGATGGGATTGTCTATATGAATTAGTAACGATTTTGGAAGATGTTCTTTTCGACCGGGACATTGGAGCATTCTGTTGGTTCTACCTATATAGGTGTGTGTCGGCGCAAAAACTGCTGGTCAACTTGTAGATACAGTTTGAAGTAGAGTCCACAGAATTTCGTCCTTTAATCTTAGATAGGTACAGGGATTGTAAATGTTCGGCATGTGAGCAAAAGAGATGTGGTGGCGTAGAATGTGTGTTTGATGATTGACCGAAGTCTTTGAGCTATCTGTCACAACTGCATAATCTGGTCACCATTAAATATTGTGTTAATAAAGATAGCTTTCTTTTGTACAGAAGCTATCTTTTCGAGATATGGTTTTTATTTACTGTGACAAGTGATAAAGTTTTCTGGATAACCATTAGCTAATAAAAACTGAATGTATATGTCAAAGCTCATCCATTACCACGTGTCTCTCGAGCATGTTTTTCGAATCCTTGAGAACGAACATTTGAACAGGGAACGTTTATACTGGTTAGGAACAAAACTGGTAAAATGAATTATGCTTCTGTCCATTCCAACCAGAATACTAAGTCGCATCATCCTGTAGAGAATCAAACAAGCCCTAGATGAAAACTTCGACCGGAACAGGCCGGATTCAGGAGAAACAAATCATTTATTGATCAAATCGCCACTCTACGGATCATCATTGAACAAAGCTTGGAATGGCAGTCACCTCTCTATCTCAACTTCATCGACTTCGAGAAGGCCTTCGACAGCGTTGATCGAGAGGTCATATGGTAACTACTTCGCTACTACGGGGTCCCATCGACAATTATACATCTCATCCAACAGCTATACGACAATGCTGCATTCCAAGTAATCCACAACGGGAAACTTACGGAAGCCTTCGAAGTAAGGACGGGAGTGCGACAAGCTGGCTGTCTACTATCGCCAATGATCTTCCTGATTGCAATCGACTGGATAATGAGACAGACAACGGCAACCAACGAAAGAACAGGCATAAAATGGACTGACACAGAAGGCTTGGAGGATCTGGATTTCGCCGATGATGACATATATCTGATTTCCCACAAACTGGAAGATATGCAAGTGAAAAGCAACAAGTTGGCAGAAGAAGCATCAAAGATGGGACTTCAAGTGAACATAGAAAAAACAGAGATGATGAAGATTCCTAGCCAACAGCAACAACAACAACAGACAACAATCAGCATAAGTGGGAAGAACCTGAAAGAAACAGCCTCCTTCACCTACCTGGGAAGCATCGTCTCAACTACAGGCCGACGGAACTGACGAGGATATCAAAGCCAGAATCGGAAAAGCAAGACAAGCTTTCATTACTCTTAAGTCTGTGTGGAAGTCAACAGCACTCAGCATTAAAAATAAGATCCGGATTTTCAACTCCAATGTGAAGTCAGTCAGTGCTACTCACTATACGGATCAGAGACTTGGTGAGTCGTAAGGAGCATCTCAAACAAACTTCAGACCTTCATCAACAGTTGTCTTCGCTCAACACCACTCAAGATCAGATGGCCAGCCAGGAAAGATTAGCAACAGGGATCTCTGGCAACGATCAAACCAACCAGGAACCGATCGTGAAACAAATAGGCAGGAATAAATGGAGATGGATTGGCTAGCCATACTCTGAGGAAACCATCAAGTGAGTGACATCACTAGACAAGCCATTGCTCTAGTGGAACCCGAAAGGGAAGCGGGTGGCGAGTTGATCGTCAGTGCAAGGGTGACTTGGAGGAGGTCATGTGAGGAGGAGGAGATGAAAGCATGTGGGCAGACCTGGAGCAGGGTGAAAAAGTTGTCAGAAAACCGAAGGCGATGGAGGTGCGCAGCTGAAGCCCTATGTTCCTCTAGGAACTAAAGGATACAATAATAATATAACAATGTCTGTTTACGAAAAATAGATCTCTGACCCGTCCCGTAATCTTTCTTGTTCACTGTAATATCTAGGACACCGAGTTTGTTATTCCATCCGAGTTCGGAAGTCACTAGGATATTTGGATGAATATGGCTAAATAGAGTAATAATAATGTTTTCAATAGATTTACTATTTGCAGTTAATAATGTTCTCTGAGCTGCTTGGTTTAGTTGCAGAGCTTTCATCGTCTTTCTGGAGGACATCTTCAGCGCAGTATTTAGCATAAAGTTAAATGATTTAAAAATCTCCATGAATGATGACACAGTTGCGTCTCCTGGTGACTAACCATCTTCACGTATGTTTTGACATATGTATTCACATAAGTAAATACTACGCTGAAGATGCCGTCCAGAAAGACGACGAAAGCTTCGCAACTAAACCAACCAGCTTAGAGAACACTATTAATTGCTAATCATCCACCTGAGTTACAAAACTTTTCTATTATAGATTTACTGTTATTACCAATAAAAAACTCGTTTATAGTACACTTTGTTTATGTGATGAATAATCTACCTCATCAAGTCTGTATGTTATTTTAAATGTCCATTTAAGTGGCCGCCACCTACCCTTCATGAGGACTTCCCCTATACTTGATTTCTACATTTAATTGTCCCCTACTGCCTAGTTTTCACTGGTTCACTGGCTGACAGCAATCCGCTATCAAACCTGATTTATCCCTAGTTTTGATAGCATTATTAGAAGACGGAGATTATCTGAAAAATGTGATGTATTTGCGCTGTACATTTCGAACAATCTGTTCACAAATTTACTTGTCAAGTCAATATATATATATATATATACGGAAAGGGTTGAATTCGATCACCTGCAGAACCTATTATGCAGCCCAGCTTGTAATTGTCGAAAAAGCTAAAAAAAATATGCTTCTCGAAAATGCACAAGTGATTATGTCACATCCCACACCAATTTTCGTGTGTGTATGTGCGGACACACATACATAGGGAGGATTAATCGTGCTTTGCATGTGAGGGTGGGAAAGTGAACATATCCTGAAATGGCTAGAAAAGCAAATGAATTGTGGAAAATCAATAGATGCAGGTATCAGACTACCAACTTCGTGTATAGCTAAACACCTCATCGAAATGAACCACAAGGTTGATGTTAACTTAGCCTTTAATTTCATCTATAAATAATGGTCAAGGGTGATTAGTGAAATACACACAAACCCCCTGTGTTTTCAAAAACAAATTGTTATTACTCTTAACCTACCTTGGTAATCCTTATTCGATTGGATTACCAAACGTTGTGTTAATCATTCTTAAATCATTTTGCTTTGTCACCTTGTTTAATTTAATTTCCCTTAATTTTTTCATACATATTGACTTGACAAGTAAATGTGTAAAGCATAAGATTGTTTGAAATGTATAGCGCAAATACATCACATCATGTTGTTTTTGAGATAATCTCCGTCTTCTAATCACAATGCTATCCAAATTTATAAAAGGGACTAATTATTTTATATTATTTGTAGCTCCTTTTTTAGAACAAGACATATAAGCGAACAATATTCTTTTCAATTAGATCTTCTTCAGGCTTTACTCTAATTTAACATAAACTTATGTGTATAAAATTTTAACCAATGACGGTGATTTTGTGGATCAAATAATAATAATGTGGTAAATGTTTTGAACGAAGTTAATAACGATGATTATAATAATAACAAAATATTGTTAATAAGGTTTATATAGGTGATAAGAATAACAAAGTTAGTATATGCATATATGTAGACAATTCAATAAATAAATAAATTAGGTCAAATCAAATGGAACGATAATCAGAGTTTAAGTAAATATCATAAAAGTACGAAGGAGAGGGATGATAAGAAAGGGTGGGAGGGTTTTGAATAGAGTTCACCTAGGCTAAGCAAGGAAGAGACAAAGGTAGAACAAATTTCTTTGGCTGTATACAAAGACTAGGATTGTTCTCTCGAATTAATTCCCATAGCTTCGGCTAAGTGTAAAAGACGGGTTCTGATTCCGTTCGAAAGACTCGATGGAATGAGATGAATAACTTTGAAGGCGGCACTATTTTTGTCCACTTGGTGACCGTTATCATCAATCAAATGTGCCAAAATAGAACTTCGTATAGATTTTGAATTTGATCTTTTCCGAACCATGAAGTAAGATGTTCATTAATGCGTTTGTTAAGCTGTCTAGTTGTTCGGCCTATATAGCTTTCTCCACAGGAACAACTAAATTTATAAATACACATGGAAGTGGCACAACTAGGTAGCTTATCTTTCACTTGAGCAATCAAAATTGGTCGGTTGGAAAATGACAAACAGAGGGTGGTGGCAGTGTAAGTCCGTTTTATCGCCCTCGATAATCTCTGATGTAAGACTTCACTAGCCACGTCTCCATTAAATTGCAGTTTCATGAACAGTTGTTTCTTTTTAACTGTTGTCGGTTTTACTTTATTGTACTTGGTGTTCATGTGTCTCCTGACAAATCTACTAGGATAACCCATTTGGACTAACGTATTTTGGATGTATCCTAGCTCATTCTCTAGGGAGTCATCTGTACAGATGCGTCTTGCTTTATTCATTAGGCATCTGACCAAATTGATTTTGTATCGGATTGGTACATAACTGAGGAAATGTGTATATTGTCCTACAGATGTAGGTTTTCCATAGACATCTCTCTTTAGTGAACCATCCTCTCTTCTACTCAATTGGACGTCAAGGAAATGTAGTCCACCATCATATTCTTCTTCACAAGTGAAGATGAGCGATGGATGTGCATCATTAAACTTTTTTAACATTTCATTCTTGTCAGCTTTCACATCCTTTTTTGTAGCAGGAAACTCTGAAAACGAACTAGCCAAGAATCTTTTGGTCAACGGACATGCCGAAGTAAATGAAGATGTGGATCGGAGACAACGTTGACGAGACGGTTGGATGAAATCGCTCTCCAGGCCATAACTAGAGCTGAACCCGAATGGGAAACGACAAGTGGGAAGTTCGAGGGTGACATGGAGGAGGAGGAGACAATGTGAGAAGGAGATCAAAAGCTATGGGCAATCGTGTGGTCAGGTAGACAGGATCGCTAAGAATGGGACAAAGTGAAGGCTTACCGTGAAAAGCTCTATATATTCACCAGGGATCCAAAGGAATAGTAATAATAATCATAATTTTAGATAATTATGGCGTTGACCATGAAAATCTCTGATCAACAACTATAACTCCCGTATTATTTTGCTCTCTCTCTGGGGAAGAAAATAACTTTTTAACTTAGGTGTTTAAAACACGAAATGATTGAGCCAGCAGAGAATATCCTTTTCAATAAATTCCTCCTCTTCTGGTCCTACAATTATATATATGTATGTTTATATACATAGAATATTTCCGGACATCGCCCAACACAGTGGTTGGTTAAGTAAAGGAAAAACAAAATCTATTCACAGAGATATCCTATCTATCTCACTCATCTTGTGGATACTGAACACAAGACTGATTGATATTATCCAGGCGGCTTTCACTGTCGTTTACCGCATACCAACCAACAAATATCAATTTCTCCTTAAGAGTTCGACTACTAAAAATTGCCGAGGCTGGCTGGCTGGCTGGCTGGCTGGCTGGCTGGCCGTTGGGATCCATATTAACAAGCCTGATTTGTGCATCCAAAAGAAGTTCGTTGTTTCAGACACTATCCATCATTACCCGCTTTGCCATCCAGGTTTGAATGATCCTGAATTTTGGGAATTTTCTTAAATTTGGCTGATATTCCATTTGCTACCGTATCTTTATTATTATTATTATTATAATTTAAGCATCTTCAATGAACTGTGGTAATTCCATTGTGATCTTACTTTACAAAGCGATATTATTTAAGAAGCACACTGGTATTTTTATTGACCACTACCAATCTAGAGTGTTCTATGTATATAAACAAACATATATATAATTGTAGAGCGAGAAGAGGAGGAGGAATTTATTGAAAAGAATTTTCTTTACCCAATCATTTTGTGTTTTATAGATGTCCAAATGAATATTTTTGTTATGTGAAGTTATAACAATTGCCCTAAACTCTAAATCAGTTTAAGTCAATTGTCCTTGATTTATTAGTAATTATGAGAACAGTTTGGATTTCAGAAAAGAAAAAAGAATATTTCTTCGTCTGCGCAGAAAGTAAGTAAGACTGACGCTTTAAAAAATGCAACATAAAGTAATGAAAATAATAACAGTATAAGAAAAAGGATACATAGTGTGTTCCCAGTTCATGATCCATCAAGCACATTATGCCTCTCTCACGTAAGTATGTATTTTCCTCATTCGTTTTTAGCAGCATTGTGAATTTTCTATGCCGGGGTATGTTACCATTTTTATCAATACCAGTACTGCACATCAGAGCGCTAATATAATACATAAAACAACAATTTATCGAGTGAAGGTGTCGTCTCACCTTCCTATTAAATCCTCACACCAAATAACCTCTAAGTTTGTTGGCAAATTTGCCTCTTTTATGTATTCAGTGATCTTTTGAGTTGCTTCTTCAACAGAAATTCTAGGTCCAAAACTTTGCTCCACAAAATTATCAATGCTTTTAAATTTCCTGCACACAGTATCTAGAATTCGAGTTGCTTCTCTAAATAAAGTGAAAGTGATATGTCCAGACTTGAAAATGAAATAAAATTCATATTTCAGTGACTCACATCATGTAATATAGCTGATTCTAGCTCTCCTGGGATAACTTTTAGGTGAAATTCAGGCGTTATGTTACGCCGAAGAAAACGATCCTTTTGCTCGCCAGCATTATCAGGCATGAGATTACTCGCAAACTGGTGCGGGACATTCTGTTCGTAACGAATCTTGTGATTCCGTGTGTACTTGAATTGATCATTGCCCACAGAATTATTTGAATTATTATTTATTTCGTGCCTAGTGTTTTTACTTTTTCCACAAGACATCATTTAAAATAAACATTTTTAAAATGTGTGTACTGTAGACATAAGATCAATGAAAGGCAGAAACATGTAAACATATTGTATTGAGCGGCTTTTTCACTTGTATGAAACTTAGTCAGTAGATGTTACAAACAAAGTCGGATCTTACTCACCACAGGCATTTTAAAAATGATCATTTCATAGTATTCACTGGATGCCTTTAGAAATTCCCATCACTAAGCGCAGTGACCGCGTCGCTGGCACAGCGGCTAGGACGCTCGCCGACCATACACATGGTGCGAGGTTCGATCCCCAGCCGACGCACACCCCATATCAAGAGTTGGCCTGCGAAATTGAGCTACCGATATCACATGCTGAAAATTTCAAACTTGTACCGAAAATAAGCTGTGGAATCAAGCATTAATCAGGAAAAAAGTTCTCTGTATCCTTAGTAAATAAATTTTTAAAAATAACATGGCGAAAAAGATTTCACCCACTCTCACCAGCAAAAGTGAATTATCTGTATGTCAGCATCGCCTGTTGTTGTGTTAAACCCATGGATACCACTCTCCATTTAATTATTATGATTTCAGGCTTCTACTATTTACTGCAACCTCGCCTAGACTACTTGCTTGCTAGTTTTTTCAGACTTCTTTGACTTCAATGATTTGTTGATTGGTGGCAGTGTGCTCAGACACAAGGATATACGAAATATGGCATGGATTTCACCAGATGGACACGCCAAAAACAAGATAGACCTCATTCCAATCTCAGGAAAAAGGGGACGGAGCCTACTGGACACAAGATTGAGGAGAGGAGCAGATGTGGGTTCAGACCACTCTCTAGTACAAGGGACTTTCAAGGTGAAGCTAAAAGCCCTGAGGATAGCTGGAGATAAGCCACAATACAAGTTCAACACTCAAAAACTGAAGGGCACAACCAAAAAGGACACTTTCACTGCAACTGTCAGAGCAAAACAGGAAACACTACGTGATATCACTGAAGAATCATGCGTGGAAGACCACTGGGACCCTCTGAAGGTGATTCTCAACGAAACACGTTCAACGGTTTTAGGAAGAAAGAAGAGACAAGACAAGGAATGGCTCTCAATGAACACTTGGAAGCTAATAGAGGGGAGGAGAATGGTGAAAGAGAAAATGATTCAATGCAAAGACGGATAACAGAGGGAGACGCTGAGCTCAAATTACACAGCACTGGACAAAGAAGTGAAGAAGAGTGCTAGGAAGGAAGACAATTCTACGACAACCTGGCCACTGAAGCTGAGAAGGCAGCAGGCAAAAGGGACCAGAAGACACTATATCAGGTAACCAGTTAAGTCTTTATCCTGGAAGAGATAAACACAAGTGAAACCTATAAAGGACAGCAAAGGGAACCCAATTATCAAGGAACAAAGACAGATTAAACAATGGATGGATCATTTCAAAGGTCTGGAAAGAGGGAAAGGTGCCCACTGACTGGAAGAAATGTTACCTCGTGAAACTAATAGAGGAAGGCGACATAGGACTTTGCAAGAACTGGTGCGGAATCGTGCTCCTGTCGACGCCAAGTAAAATCCTGAGTCGCATCGTCCTGAAGAGAATAAAGGACACACTGGATGCAGAACTCCGACCAGAACAAGCTGGATTCAGGGAACTCAGGTAAATCATGTTCTAACCAAATTTCAACTCTACGCATTATCATCGAACAAAACATGGAATGGCAATCAAACCTCTAACTCAAATTTATAGACTTTGAGAAGGCCTTCACCAGAAGGCGTTGACCGCGAAGTAATTTGGAAACTACTCGGTACTACGACGTACCCCAAATATTCACCAACCTTATTCAACAGCTGTACGACAACGGCACATGTCAAATGATCCACAACGAAAACTCGGCGAGGTGTTTGGAGTAAACGCAGGAGTCAGACAAGAGTGCTTATTATCACCAGCGAATGATATTCCTAATTGTGGTGAACTGGATTATGTATCAGATATTGGGAAAGAGTAGACAGGGATATCCTGGAACGACGTGAAGAACGTTTCCAATGTAGCTGAAGATTGAACGATCAATTAATGGTTGTTTGCTCAAACCCAACTCCCCCATATTTTTCGCTGGTGTCATCAATCCGGCAGTCATCGTCTCATCGTTTGCTGTTCAGTGGAAGATAAAAAACTATCAGAAGTATTGTCATGATTTATCGTTATAACATTTATTCTTAGACCTTGTGTGTAATAACTTTGTTGTTGGTTACATTTTGGCGTAAGAATAAAGGATTCTCGAGTCGCCAATCTGTGTTCTGGCTTTTTCACGTTGGTTAATACAAAGTGTTTCTGAAAGTCTTCGAGGGACAGCGTGAGGTCCAGCGTAGCAAAAGCTGGACATTGACAGTTACTGTGAGTTGGCTGACAATCGGTTTGGTTGATTTGTTTTGGAGCTGGTTGTCCATGCAAATGCAGTTGAAGTGATTTTAATGCTTACTTTGCTCATGCTGGATATATTTATATAAAAGTTGTTGTTCGATATTGTACTTGAGCACCTACATATTGTTTGTGCGGCAGGACGCTTATATATATGGTTCGTGCAGCGAATATTTTGTATGTCGAGTATGCTTCGCGTTTATTTCGATGACTGTCTTTTGACAAATTTCTTTGCACCTTGCTAGCCACTTGTACTCAGTCGTAAAATTCCCGATCAGCTATTGTCCAGTAGCGCTTTCTGTTGCAAGAACCGGAGAATATGGTTGATATCGAATTCGTGCATGCTTCCAATCTGTTCTATGGCGTTTTGATTGCTAAAAGTCATTGAAATCCATAGATACAAGGGGAGATTAATGCTCCAAAATGAGCAGAAACTGCAATATGTTTTACGACCACTTGCAACATTCACTGTTTTCTGCCAAATTTTTTAACTGGGGTAAATGCAACAAATTCTAGTACTTTGCTGGATTTGAATATCATTGTCGTGATCAGGTACGTAAGGACGTCTGAGGTGTGTGTTATTTTGTCCTATTATTGAGTTTGATTTCATATACTTCCTGCTTTTCGCTATTATCCTGAAGCCATATTATTTGCGTTTTTAAAGCGGCAATTATCTTGGAATCATGTAGACGTGGTGTTCGACATCTATTAAAGCTGGTTGCTTCATCCACATAAAGAAGAGTCATCGATGTCTGTAAGTAAGGGCTTCAGTTCATATTCCTAAGTGCCTTCAGAAGCAAACAGAATTTTCGGAAGCCATTAATGGTAGGAACAGGAGACCTAGCTCATCTACTGGGAAACATATTGTAGATGCAGGACATAATAATAATATATTCTCATTTTTTCTACATGAGGGACTCCAGTTTACAGGCGTCGTCAATTCGATAAATACACATACGATTTGCAAGCATAGTTTGTGATAATAATATAATACGGTACATATTTATTCTTACCTATGTAAGACACACCAGTGGTACAGGAATCACATGAATTTGATTTATGGTGAAATTACATGGTTGCTGTCCTCTCTGACATTAGTTTGTGTGTACAGTCTGATAACTTATCGTTCAATGGAGCACATTAAAAAATATAGAATTATTGTCTTCGCATTAACAAAACACCTAAGTGTTTTTTTTGTTGATTACAGCTTGATTCCACACTGCATTTTTGGTACAAGTATGGACTTTTCAGCATGGATATCGGTGGCCCAAATTTTGCAGGCCGACCATCGATATAAGGTGTGCGCCGACAGGGGATCAAACCTCGCACCATGTGCTTAGTCGGCGAAAATTCTAACCACTTTCCCACGGATTATAGATACTCAGAAAAATACAGCTCGGAGTCATTTCCCTCATATAAAAATGCATCTTATAATAATATATTTTCACTTTATACACATAAGAGACTTCAGTCAATGGGCATCATCAATATGATAATAATGTATACATAGAGTAAGGATGTTTACAATATATATATACAAGGGAAGATAATGGAGGAATAATGACAGTCACCACACTCTGCATAAGTCAAAACAATTTATATGACATAATACTAGGCGCTATTATTGTTTGAATTTGTCAAAAATGCGCGCAACAACTGAGTGTTGCGTTACATTTTGTCAGTATGGTGGGCCAGTCACAAAGGTATAAAGATGGGTTATATGAAGTTAGCTAGTTCACCATAAGCGGTGGGCGAAGTACAAGAATAGCGTCCCAGGAGTGCGAACGCTCAAATGACCTTGAACGCATGCTAGTCGTTGGATAACGGCGCCTGTCATCATCATAGCTGAAATATCAACCGTATTCATTAAATAAGGAGCAAGTTTCACCCAGTTAACGCTTTTAATTACTGTTTGGACAATGTGTTAACATCTCGTTAGGGTTAGGATTAGGGTTAAGGCAAGTATTGGGATTAGGGTTAGATTTATGGCAGGATAAGGATTGTCATTTGGGTTAGGATTAAGGTTAGGGATAGTGTGAAATTTAGGGTTAGGGTGAGGATTAAGGCTAGGATTGCGATTAGGAATAGATTTGTCGTTTATTTCAACTTGTTTTATTATCCTCATTTTCCTTGTATGTAGTAACCAATGCTCTTACTGAAACCATAGTAACTAAACCGAGGGCTTAGGAGAGGACTACACAGCAAGAGAAGAGAGATGAACGATTCACAAAACAGCCAATCTTCGGTCAATTTGGTGAATACATCTACAGAAACTAGTCCAACTTAGCAACTGATACTCTTCATCATAGCTGGGAGGTATTTTTAAGTCATGTCAGGGACAGATAATCCGTTTAATGTGTTTTCATGCATTTTCTAGTGAATATACGTCGTTTTTCGTGCAAAAATTCCTCATTTTTATGATTGGCTGTCTGAAGGTCACTCGTGCGTTCACGTTTGTTGGGACTCTATTGTTGAACTTTGCCAGCAATGTTTTAAGCAATATAATCTGTAAGAGGCTTACCACAGCAGTCAGTATCCATTGAAACATGCAGAGAAGTATTAATGATTCAGCAACTGGCGGATTTTTGTTTGTTTTCGATCTGGAATCAGAATGACTGCGAAGGAATCCATACAAAATATCGAATGAAGCATTCGGGAGCAGAATATTAACATCGAATGA